ACCCATTTCCCTTTATGTTTATCGTAAAGATTCAGTATTGCTCAATAAGGACATTTTTGTACAAGCCAGAAACATAATTTGCTTTTCATGTTTTTTTCTTGCACTTTTTTCTTACAACAGAATGATTCATCTAATTAACAGATTCTAATCTAACACAATTTTCTATTACAATAAAGGCATGAGACAGAAAGTCTTCCGAAGATATATTTCTGGCAAGAAAATGTCTACGGTCAAAAAAGCAGTCATTCAAGTTGGCTGCAGAGTGCGACAGAGGAAAACAATCTGACTCAACATTTATACCTTCATCAAATCAGGATGCTTCTATTTCATCCAATCATAATGCATAGTCAACATATGTGTTCATTTAAGGTATTTAACTGTGCACCCTTAGATGCCTTTCTAAGTGTTTTATGCCAATAATTTTCTAAGAATCTAGGATATCTAAGATATAATAAGCTAAAATAACATTTCCAGACTCACATCAAGATTCTCAATGGGGTTCAGGTCTGGTGAGTTTGCTGGCCAGTCAAGCACACCAATCTATCTATCTATCTATCTATCTATCTATCTATCTATCTATCTATCTATCTGTTGCAATCGATTAAAAATTAACTGTTTAAATCCTTTTGACCACTGCTGAACACCTTAAGGTAGCTGTTGCACTTTGCTGTAATTTGCATGCATATTTATTACTGAAATGCTGTAAAGTATACAGGAACAATATTTCATTACTGCTCCTGATAAATTCCAAGTTTTGCGTTGAAACGACCGTACGCTCAATTTTCTGTCGTACGTTCGTTTCGTAAATGAGGCCCAATGAGTGGGAGCTGTTAAAAACAAAAAGAAGAAAGAGAAGAACAGCATGCAAACATTTGAAATGGGTCATTATTATGGCAGCAGCAGGTATGCAATAGTTTTCAATTAAGTATTATATACACATCAAAATATAAACCAAGCAGCTTTATGTTTATTTAATCTCCACATTTTAATGACATCCATCGTTTTGAGAGATAAAATGCAAGACAGAAAACCTTTTCAGCAGTGCGTCTATTTTTCAGATTTTTGAACAGGATATAAAATAATCAAATAATAAATAGGATATTATTAAATATGAATTTATTCTCATTATTCCAAGCATATGACATTTTATTTATAGCAGACAACCATACATTCGACTATCTGTCTGCATGTCTGTCTACCCATATATTTATCTTTCTTTCTGTCTGTCCATCAACATAAGTATCCGTCTGTCTATCTGTGTATCCATCTATGTGTTCAATTCAATTTTATTTTTATAGTGCTTTTCATAATACAAATCATTGCAAAGCAGCTTTACAGAAAATTTTGTAGTTTTGTATGCTCAGGCTTGGCATCATCTGAGGTCCTCTGAGGGGTTGGCATCATCTCTTCAGATGTTTGTAAGGGCTGGATCCAGACTGAAGCTTGTGCAATTCGTTACCTCGGGATGCCGATCCCATCTGTCCATCTGTCTGCCTTTATGTGTATCCCTCTGTCTATCTATTGCCCTTTAAAGCCCTTTAAAATCACACTAATCCATTCAGGTTCTATAGGATGAGTCACACTGATGTTTTACTTCATCATATTCATGGTTTAGACCATGCAGATATAGAAAATAACAAGAGATCAGGTGAAATGTGCTGGTGTGCTGCGTGTGCATTAGGGCTGTGCAATATATCGAAATTATCGAAATATCGCAAATGTACATATCGCAATATGCACATCGCTACAGCTTGCAATATTTGGGTCCATGAACAAAAGACAAAGAGAAAATCACTCACTGCTCTTACCTAAATAACTTTTGTAGAATCAGTGCATATTGAATTCAAAGAGTAAATTCTAAGCAGTGTTTTATTTTTCCATTTATTATCATGTTAAAATGATTACACTAATGTTAAAATTATATTTTTATGTAATGCTCGAGTAAAACACTACCGTTCACTTTCAGAAGTTGATGTAGGGGTGCTTTCTTATTAGAACACTTCTGGAAATGAGAGAGAAATATGTTGCATACACCTTTATTTTCTTCTGTATACTCTTCTGCTTTTGAATGTACATGTACACCCTTTTACATACAGAGTCCACCCAAACATCTAAGACAAAATCTGCAAATGCAACATTTAGGCTAGCTATCCTTGAAGCACTGTTTCTACTGTCTCTGTGCTGTAGCTTCCAGCTACATGAAGCCAGCTGATCCATGCTTTGTCTTACCTTTACGCAGCTGTGTACTTAGTTGATATAGAAATCCAGTTTTCTTGGCAGAAAAAAATCTTTTGAAAATGAAATTGTAAGAGAGAAAAAACACACAGCATTACATTTTTTTTTCAATTTAAGCAGATTATCTATGATTTATTTAGGTCAACTGAGGCCAAATATAACTGCTTGATAAAGCAAAGATTGACAGAGATAAGGGAATGAGTCTGCTGGCCAGTCAGACGAGATGTAGATCCCAGATGCGTGCTATAATCATATTTGACAGTGTCACAAGGAAGAATGTACTGTATGCGTAGGTGCAATTTCACACATGCATGTGTTTGTTTGTTCCTTCTGCTTTCTTCATCTTGTTTATTTTTTTCAATCTTCTATCAGATGCATTCATTTATTCCATATTTCTGCCTGTCATGCGAAATCCCATCTGCAGGTGCACTGAATCATTGAAATAATTTTGCCTTGGGAATAAGATTTGTACAGTGGCTGAACGGTTTCTGTCCTCCCGTAATGACTCAGGAAACTTAAAGAAAGTTACTATAATTTTTCCGGCTGACTGCTGGTCCAATCTCAATGTTCAATCCATTTGACTGTATAGGGAATAGAGTGGCGATCTGGTCATTTCTCTTCCTGGTAGATAATGAGGTGTTTTTCCCTTCTCCCAAATAAAACCATTACAGTGGTAATATATTATATTATGCAACACATTTTCATGAAGTATGCACCATACTATACTGATTCTACAGTCAAGAATACTTTGCCCCTATGGTTTCTTAGCAGCATCCCACTGGACGTTTTCCTGGAATCTATATCTTTGTCACAATTGCCTTTTAGAGATGTTGTTGTCCACTTTATTATACATTAAATAAGTGGTTCCTACGGTGGCCGAAAAGTGCAGAACAAATCACAATTCTGAAAACAAAATAACAAATTACAAATGCAAATGCAAGTCTAAAAAACAAAATAACAATTCAGAAAGCACAACAACAATTCAGAAAACATTATAACAAGTCAGAAAACACAATGACAAATTCGAAAACAAAATAACAAGTCAGAAAACACAACGACAAATCCGAAAACAAATGAACAAATCCGAAAACACAACGACAAATCCGAAAACAAATTAGCAAGTCAGAAAACACAACGACAAATCAGACAAACCGGAAAAGGTAGGTATAGTTTGAGACCGCGCCATTGGTTTGGGATTACTCACCGCTGACTGGACGAGACATCTGTCAATCAACGTATACAGGAAGAACCAGCCGAAGAACAGCAGAGTCGTGGTAGAAAGTTCGGAGATGGTATTAAAGTAGCTCAGTTTAAATGTAGTGTATGAATTGCCCTCACTGTGGAATGAAAAATAGGGAGTGTATATTTACATTTAGTTAAAAGTGGCTGTAAATCGTCAGCTCCAGTGGCGCAGATGGATAAGTGCGTGTCACTGACTTTTTGACGCGATCGACCCGGGTTCGATCCCGCCTTTTGCCGAGCTTTTTTTTCCTCCCTGAATTGTTGTTGTGTTTTCTGAATTGTTATTTAGTTTTTTAGACTTGCATTTGCGTTTGTAATTTGTTCTTTTGTTTTCATAATTGTGATTTGTTCTGCCCTTCTCGGCCACCGTAGGTTCCTTATGAAGTGCACTTGAAACGCTAGCAGGCGGAAATGGGATTAATCCAATCTTTGTCATGAATCTGTCCAGCCCAGTAATTGGAGCTCAATCCTTGGTAATTGGCTTTATGAAGAGGAGGAGTGAAAGAGGGAAAGCGAGAAACCATCCTTTCTCTGCGTATTATTGATGTGATGAAGCTTTTATTTTCCATAAAAGATATCAGGAACACCTGAGTTCATTCATCTGTATATGACTAGTTAATCCTATTTCAGAGAAGTACAGATGTACACATAGCTTCAGTGGGGTCAAGGTTTAGCTGGTTAGCATGGCCCCATTTGCCCCTGCAGGGATAGATGCTGTAACCACAGACCTTAGTTAACTACAAAGCATCTTTTTTCATTCATGGACATTTAAAAAGCATTTTTAAAAAGTGAAATTTTTTGTTGTTGCACGAAATGATTAATTATATATTAGCAGTAATAAATTATAATACAGCAGACTTAAAAAAAAAAATAGAGACTCTCTGTGATAATTTTTCACAGGGTTGCCAAGTCTGTGGTTTTAACGCAGTTATAAATTTACACTGTCGCTGTGGGTTGTTTTTTAGTCCGCGGTTTAAAGAGAAAGTTAAATGCGATTGGGCTAGTTTTGAATAGCAGTTGGGCTGGTTTGATTTCACAGACCTGGCAACCCTGGTTTTTCCCTGCCCGTTTCTTTTGTCTGAACATATTAGCTGGTGAAGGTTTTGGGCAGTGCCATCGAGATATATCCAGCTGCAGACCCGCAGCACCAGCAGTTTCAGAACAGCAGCCACAGAACCGGAAGTTAGGGGCGACAACGAGAGAGCACGGTGAGTAATCTGTAATGTTTTTGCTATCATATGTTCAATAATTGTCGTATATATTACGTTAAACATTTATCTGCTAAGTACTTAATGTGTGCTTGGCTTTATTATCTTATATTTATTATCTAATATTTCGTCATACTTTGTAGTATAGAACTTGTTTCTGTGGATGTTTCGATAAATTTTCGGATGCATGTCGTAAATGGGCCTTGCAGTGAAGTTTTGAAGACGTTTATTATTCATTAAAAATAAATAGTTTGCTTTATTTTTCTCTGTTATATGCATTGTTAGTGTGTTAATATTATCTTATAGTTTAGTTATTTTAATCCCATTTGTCATCATTGAGATAATTGTGTGTGGCTTCATCTCTTGTAGAGACATATAAGGATTCAGAAAGGTGGCACATTACCTGAGCTGCAGCAGTGCAACAAGTGTTACAGCAATTGCCAGCAATTTTCTGCTTGACCAGCATGTTTAAGCCAGCCAAACTGGTCAAATTAAAAAGTCATCTTCAAATCCACTTCAACAAGGCAGTTGTCTGTGGAGGTATGAATATCTTGAGTCGTTTGTTTAATATATGTAATCACAATATATTATTGCATAATAGTTTACCTGTGTACTTATTTTTTTATTTTAGGCTATACTATTGGTGTGATTATTTAGTTGTTAAATAAGGAACAAGGAAGGTTTTTTTGTGCCATTTACAGGGAGAATATTCTTATTTTTTGTTGTTTTCCAGTACATCTTGTCTTGGGAGCACCCTTTGATTTTACATCTGTAAGTAGTTATCAGTTAAAGTAATTGACCTTATGATGTTGTAACAGTTGATATTTAAAGATTTCTCTATGTTTGTGTCTTCCAGTGTGACATTCCAATCATACGAAGATGGTGGACTCTTTTTCTTCTGGAGAACTTTGGAGTTTTCTCTGAGAGGTACTGGACATTTCCTCCATCCCACCATTACATGTCCACCCCCTTCTGACCAATTTGAAATTAACCAAGATACATATACATTACAGTGCAGAAACCCTACAAGAGGCCCTTCCAAGTGGATAAAAAGGCTACGCTTGTGAGGTATGTCTCAAATCTATCTATCTATCTATCTATCTATCATTAAAGGAAAATGTAACTTTAATATTTCTTATTAATCTATCTATCTATCTATCTATATATATATATATATATATTCAGATTAATAAGAAATATTACAGTTACATTTTCCTTTAATATTCTAAGATGAAGGAGATCCCAGTAATCCCAGACAGAAGTTGTGAAATGGCTCCATTACAACAGACATCTGCTCAGGGGGCCAGTGGAAGAGCTTCTTTTCCTTATAATGGAGGAAGAGGACAAGGAAAAGGCCCTCAACAATCTCCTGGAACTATCAGAAGCTTCCAGAGTGCCCTTCATATTTCATCTTGTGTTCAGGGGGGTTATTTTTTCAGGATTGTCATAACAAAATGGTCCTAAGAGTGAATTGTTCATTTGATACATTTTAATTTGAATTTATGCATGATTGTCATGACAAAATGGGCTTAATAGTGAATTGTTCATTTTATAAACTTCAATTTAATTATTGTGTACATTTTGATTGTTACTTTTAAAATTATGCTGCTGTTTGTTTGTGTGTGTGTGTGTGTGTGTGTGTGTTTTATTTAAATGTTTTAGTTTTCATATTGAAAAATGTATGATGCACGTGTTCTTGACTTTGGAGTAAACATTTATTTTGAATCTTGTGATTAAAGTACATTTCATATAAAATGCCCAGAAGTTATTTTTACATTATTTTTAATATCACAAACAGGAAATAACTCGCATAATACAATGAAACGAATAACTGTATACAACTAAATTACACAAGATTAATGTTTTTAAAATGCTTAATATATCATTATAAAATGCATACATAAAGTATGACGTATTGTGTGTAATAAAAGAAAATTACCCCTTAAAACCGTAAGGTGGCGCTACTCTGTTAAGAACGTAAGCTCCGCCCCTCACTTCCGGTTCTGTGGCTGCGGTTCTGAAACTGCTGGAGCTGCAGGTCTGCAGATACTATTGGTGCCATCAGTCATTCATTGTTGTTATAATGTCATTTTTCCTTTTGCTTTAGTGTGATTGAGAGCATTTGTTACTGTGGTGATTGGCACAAAAACATGTCCAATACTGAGTGCCTGAGCAAAGATGGTAGTTTTCAAATTGTGTATGTCTGGGTCTTGTGCCAGCCAAGCAAATACCATTGAAATGAGAGGAAATTACCTACTGAGAGATTGCTGTTGAGATTTTAATTCCCTCCTCCTTTAGCAACAACCTCGTTGCAAAGCTTGCATTTCGTTGTGAAATTCTCACAAAATAATCTGTGCCAAATAAATTCAGAATGAACAATTATTGCAGAAATAAAAGGTCTTTTTGGACTGGGGAGGATGTTTTACAAGCTCAAGCTCTTTATCTCAAAACATTAAGGACAATTTCCTTGCACATAAAATGACCCCATTAAGACGAGTGTGGGATTTTATACTTTTCTGTCAAATCTGATATTGGGAAATAGGAAATGAAAGAGCAGGTGTGGGAGTGTAAGTGAAATTATCTTGAAAATGTTCTTCAGCACAGTTGTCTCTCACCTAGTCAGGATCTAATGGTTTTAAATTCTTACACTTCAGAAACAGGTTTTTCTTAGCTTGGAAGCCCACGTCAGAGCAAAAAATGATGCAAATATGTTTCTCATAAATGCAGATTTATTCCTCACGATGTGACTTTATATCTTGCATGTGTGACTTTATTTCTTATTTTAAACTTAATCAGAAACAGGCTTTCATGTGAAAGAGACATTGGATTGTTTCACGATAGGTTTAGCGAGCAGAAGGCTTAGAGAGCAGAGAAGAAGATATGAGATCATATTGATTTTTGTACCATTTTTGCTATTTATTAGAGAGACACAAAGATCCTTCCAACTTTAGTACAAAGGTCTTGCTTGGGTTGGTGTGGTATGATTTCAATTTCACTGGTAAATAACTATGTTAGAACAGATGTGGACTTGCAACTTACTGTAAAACACCTGGTTAGTGCTGTCAATTGTTATAAGAGTCTCTATATATTGTATAGTCTGACATACTACTTGAGTGAGCCTTTCAGTTTCACTTATTGTCCAACACACTGCATCGTGTATTGAGTGGAGATGATGTGTGGAGGTTCAGGAAGGCTTTTGAGAAACAACTTGTAAAAGTGCATGTAGCATCCTATGACCCCTTTAATGGAAGTGGGATTTTTCCACCATTTTTTGTCTACTGTGTAAAAATTGTGCATTTAATTGTTTAGAAAATTCATTGCACAACATTCTTTAGTAAGCTTCATTCACATCCCTAGCAATGTTTTCTTCGTAAGCACTACTAATAAAGGTCAGAGTATGCTGAGTGAGCATTGAATTATGGAATCTCCTATGTGGTATAATTTGTTTATTCTGCTGTGCGTGTTTCGTCTTCTGATCACTGATTCTGTCTCACAAGTGTGTGTTTAGAGTATGAGAATCTGTGGGAGGCCAGAGTAACTATTAGTACCTTTACCGTTTACCTTATCAGTGTTGGAAAATAAAAGCTTTCTAAACTGTCAGTGTAGCTTTTAAAGTAACAAGCTACTTTTTCAAGTAGCAGTGTAATGTCACTAAAATGTCACAATTTCTTATGAGACATTGTTGCACGCCTTGTAGCCATGTGAACTAAAGCAATAATGAAACACTCTTGTGTACTGCCTTATTTTTTATACAGTATGTATGGAATCCGTTTAAGTGAATCTTTTCATTCAGACATTTTTTCAAACACTTTTTTTGTTCATTAAGCCCACTTCTTGATTTACATAAACTGCCTAAACAAACCATCCATATTATCCGCTTGATTTGTGTACGGTTGCAGGGAGGTTGGAGCCCAAACAAAACCATTTTCTAAAATGGTTCACCAATTCTTCCTCATTTTTTGTGCCAAATCAATTATATTATGAAAAACTTTAAATAGCTTGAATGTATTTACATCTTTTTTTTAGTAGCTTGCAAGCAAGTTTTTCAGAAACTTTCTGATGCCACAGTCCTGATGATCCCTTCTGCCAAAAATGTGCCCAATTATTAGGGCTGGGTTTTGACACAAATGTCATGATTCGATTAGATTCTCATTCACAAGCTTTCGATTCGATTACCAATTCGATTCGATTCGATTCAATATCGATTATTTTGGATATATATCAGTAAGAAAAAAAAGAAAATAAATCACTCAACTAATGCTATAAAATATATATGAGAGTCAGTTGGTACTACATTACTATAATATTGAAGGTTAAAATTTACTGATTTGTAAGCTATACAACTGCTAAAATTACACTTAATGAAGTTTTTAAAATAATAACATTACAATTACATAATATTTCTACTTCAAGTAGTTTTTTTTAAATAGGCTATAAACATTTAAATGGTGGCTGTCATAAAAACTTGATGGATTTATTCAAACATAAATTAAACATTGAAGAACAGTAAAAAGGATAATGAATATGTTTTATGGTGAATATACACTGAACAAAATTATAAATGCAACACTTTTGTTTTTGCCCCCATTTTTCATGAGCTGAACTCAAAGATCTAAGACTTTTTCTATGTACACAAAAGGCCTATTTCTCTCAAATATTGTTCACAAATCTGTCTAAATCTGTGTTAGTGAGCACTTCTCCTTTGCCGAGATAATCCATCCACCTCACAGGTGTGGCATATCAAGATGCTGATTAGACAGCATGATTATTGCACAGGTGTGCCTTAGGCTGGCCACAATAAAAGGCCACTCTAAAATGTGCAGTTTCACATACACATACATTCAAAATGCCATCAATAAAATGTACCTGTGTTCGTTGTCCATAACATATGCCTGCCCATACCATAACCCCACCGCTACCATGGGCCACTCGATCCACAACGTTGACATCAGCAAACCG